ACCAGCATGTATGTGACAAAAACAGATTTTATGGAAATTTTACTATTATGATAACAGTTTAATAATGATCAAATAGCATAGAAAAATAGAGTGAAACACGCTCTATCTTTTGGTAAAAAAAAGAAATTTCTTTACGTCTCTGCCTAAGAAAATAACATACCTCCCTCACTACTTTTGGATTGCCCTAAGTAACTATGTAAAAATAAGAAATAAAAATTAATTTTGTTTTGAATGCAATAATAAATGTTTAGGATAAATTATATTTAAGTATCGAAAAAAACTGATGTTAAGAATGAGTAATTAATTATCGCGAATGTTACATAAGGTAAATAAACAAGAATCATACATTAAAAAAATCTTGAAATTCGATTTATTTTATATGATCGATTAATATTATTAAATCAATTCAAAGTAAATTAGTTAAACATAAAACTTTTGCCAAACATATATTAAAAACAAACAACATAATCGATATTGTATAACATTTTTTGATGAATTAATATAATCAATATAGATTATATTGATAATAATATATAGATAAAATAAGACAAATAATAATAAATATATCCATTGGAATAAACCACGATTGATAAAAAATTCTTTTTTTCTAAAATTTAAAAGAGATTTTTAATGATTCTCAGATCTTTATGGAATAATCAAAGTAAAAATATAATTTATAGTCACAGTTGAGATATGATAGAAATATTTTTAATCTTGCTGAGATAATTTAAAATCAAGAGTAATTCTGAAAGAAAATAGTCATTAATCTGTTTTTATCTAATTTTTTCGCATAGCAAAGGATTTCGAATAAAATTATCTTTTAGAATACTTTTTGCTAATGAGGCCTTTTGAAAATTTTCATTCTTTTGGATTAGAAATAATATATTTGAAGGTGTGAAAACATTACGAATTGTACTTTAATTTACTTTTAGTTTTCATAAAGGGATGTAAATGTGATCAATTTCTTTTTTATTTGAAGAAACGATATATAGAAAAAAATTGATTCTTCTAACATTTTTCCCTACAAATTATTCGGTTAGTCAAAGTTTATGTTAATAATGAAAAAGAATTTAGTCATTGCAAGAATTTCACATTACATAAATTATGAATAGATTTTTATGATGATGATTTTCTTTTACAACAGATCTTTTTATAATTCCAAGTCTGTAACTATTGATGATATTAAAAAAGCCAATTAATAACAAATGTAAGAATTCAGAAAAAAAAATTGTATTCTTTTTATTATTTATTCAAGATGATCTGTATCAAGATTTCGTTCAAATTCTTCGTTCCAAATGTCAATCATTTTCTCATGAAAAACTGTGATTTGATCAGTATCAGTTGTCTTCGTTGACGACCATGGAATATGATTGATCATAACTCCAAAAAGACGATTACAATCGTCAATATATTTTAATGGTTCTTGCATATGCGAATGCCAAGCAAGATCAATCTGTCAAAAAGAAAGATACATTTACAGTGTTCTTTTCAATCAGATAAGTATTCTCACTGCATAGGTTGGATGAATAAAATTATATTCATTTTTTGTTAAATATTTGCTTGTAAGATATAAATATCGTTCATAAGATTTTCTCAATCGTTTCATAGCTAAAGTAAGAGCACTGTGTTGTGTTTGAGAATTATTGATCATAATTTTCATTCCCACTTCATATATTTCAGTGCAATATAATTTAAACCAATAACTATCGAGAATAACATCGGTTTCAACAAATGAAAATGGATTTTCATAATTATTTGATAGTTCAGGTACAAATCTGAACCATGTTTGATCCCAATAAGAATATGCTGGAATAGGACATACAATATAGTGTAGTAATGAATATTGATTTGATAATTGAATTTCGGCTTCGTCTTCAGTTGTTGGTAAAGGACAATATTGTTCTCCGAAATGTTCTTCATACAACTGACAAGTATGAGCAAAAGCTTCTTCCTTTGAACGTTCTTCATCGCTGTTAATTAATAAGGAATGATCAATAATACGACGAAATAATCGTAGACAATCATTTCGATACATATCGGGCCGTAATAAATGAGTTTGCTAGATGATTTCAATGTCGAGAGTAGGAATTAAACGTACGTTAGGATAGGAAGCTTTCAATTGCATGAATTGATAGTATCGCATGATCATTTGTTCGATAATGGTAGGTCGCCACCATCTAGTGACAAATTTAGATGTCTTTTCCAATAGTGCAATCAAGGCAATAGCAGTTCGATCAATATCGACTGATAATTTGATAGTCCTATGGGTTTAGAAGTAGGGAATTCGTATTTTAATTAGCAAAGAACAAATTCGACACTTACACATCTAAAGATGTGTTTGGATGTTCAATAAAACCAGAAATAGGCAAGGCAGAGATGCTATTGTTTACACGAATGGAAGAGCTCCTTGAACAATAACATGTATTTACTAGACAAAGATTATGTCTTCCTGTTCTTAAGTATTTCTCATGGACATTCTTCAGTTCAAGACTGTGTAAGTATTTTCCATAGATCCAGTCCATATAGATTTGTTTAAAAGATTTTGATTGTATTTCATGAGAGGCTACAGAAAGACGTTTACAACAAAAACAACAATAGGAAAAAAATTACTACTTACGATTGCATGTCGCTCTCCAGATTTCATCTTGATCAGCAATGATTTTGAAGTAACGACATACTAAAGACACATTCTCCAAATCACGAACAGTAAGCAATCGAAATATGTGAATAAGAATTTCCGTGGGAAGATTAGCAAAGGATGAGTTCGACAGGGACAGTTGCGTTTCATTTGTTGACCATTCATATTTCCAAGTGATATTCGGTGGAGATCTTTGATTTTCTGCAATATTTCCTATATTATTGTCTTCATCACTATTTGTGTCAGAACTATCACATTCTATAGAAAGAATATAAACAATTTTGATTAATATCTTGAGACGACTTACCAATGTCTGAATCGTGTCGATGATGGCTACATAGGAAGGCCGCCAAACTTTGAAACATCATAGAATCAGTGGAAAATTTTTGCACTTAAACGCTCCTGTCACGAACGCTTTACACAGAACGTTTTTCAAATTAATGAATCATATGCATCGATGTGTTCTGTTACAGTATTTCTTTTCTTTCCTCTACATAACTTTGTAGCGCTCCAATAGTAACCATGATTATTACCTCTATTGTGATATATAATGCAAGTGCACTTACTATAGTTGATTTCTCCTATAGATAGAATATAAAAATGAAGTGATATTCATCATATTTTCGGTTCTTTATTACTGGCACTTGCTTGGTAAATCTAATGCCTGATAAAAAATAGATACAGTAGAATCAAAAGATTTCTTTCTTAGTCAAATTATTTAGTATGATTCGTTGTTTGAAAACAAATTTTCATATAGATAATGTTTCGAATTCATAAAAAAAGGATGCAGGTATTAAGGATACGAAGACTACAAGATCATCCTAATTGCACTCACTTTCATTCACAATATATCTATAATTATTTACGATATAGCTATTAAAATTCCATAAATTCTACATCGTAGAAGAAAAAAAAATCAAATAAGAGAATTTATTAATAATTGCCATTATCACTGTCATAATTGCTTCCACCTATGTCACATTACTATTGCATACATTTTCTTCATTATAATGACTTTGATGATGACTATCACGATCTGTACATTCCGAATTTGCCACACTATCACCGTAGTAATTACTGTATCCATTGGTATCAAATACATATTCATAATCACATGATGCACGGGAATAATAATTTCTCATATCGAACACGTTTTCTGTGTAGGTGATACACGAAAAATTCATCATTAAGAATGATTAATTTTGAAATATCGATATTACGTGTAGCGAAAGAACGAAAAAAAATTTATATCTTATAGGTTAAAGTGAAACGGAAGCGATTCACACATGAATAATCAATCGAATATTATATTAATTAGTAAATAAATATCTAAATATTTCATTGCTTAATTTTTAGAGAGATAACTTATCAGTAATAAATTCTCTTTTATTGAAATACTTTCAAAGACCTTTATTATCACATTTGACGAATGAATGTTCAATCAAAACTTATATCGACATCTAATCTTCGTATTATTATTCGGGAGATATTCATGGTATCATAAAAAGGACATTCTAGTGATTTATTTTTATAAGAAAACAGTCGGAAATAGAAAACTTTTCTGAGAGATAAAAGAATAAGACTATCATGTGGTTCTAAATTTTTTGAATGAAACTGATGATTAAGTTTGCTTGCTTGATCAGTCTCTTATGTGTTTTTTTTTCTTTTTCACACCCGCATTTTTCTTATTGATCGAATACAAATTTATTTGTGATCCGCTCCTGGTAATTGTAACTTTGCTAATCTTTGTAGTCTTAAATCGCGAACTAGATCATATATCTCTTTATTTTTCGGTATTTTACATGCTGCTAATGAAGTAATATCGTTGATGATCTTCTGTAATTTATGTCGTTGTTGTGCTTTTTTTGTGTAAGTACACCAAGGAAAAGACTTCGAAAATTTACTATCAATGTATTCATATAATGACTGAATCAATAAATAGAACCAATTATTGGTAACACTATTTTTGTTCGTAATGATATTAGCGATTTCTTTCATTAAATTTTTGGTTAATAGAAATTCTAAACTGTTTCGATCATATTCATACTCAATAATTGACATAGCAAGACTAACTAATATTTGATTGAAATCTAATTGAATTGAGTCAGTTACGAATATATAATCTGCTAATCGATTTTTTTCGCTAATAATTCTATATGATTTTCCAAATCCTTGATACATCAATATAGCGCATATTAATCTACCAAATCGTGAGTTCAAATGAATTTTATTTTCAGTCATATCTTGATTTTCTGATTGGATACTCATTTTATCAACGCTGGTCTGAAGTTTAGTAGTCAATCCATAGCTCAATATGAATGGTAAATGTCGATGAACTAATGAATAATTATCCCCTGAAATGATGATTATTCGGTTAGCAAGATAGGAGTTCAAAATAGATTGATACACATATTTCTGATCATACTCAGACGCATTCATACATATAAAACCAGCATTCGCGGATGAATTCATATGTTGTAACAGCAATTCAGATTTCATTACATCATATGTTGATTGAGGATCTGAACTAATAAAAATAATCAAATCTGTTGTATTCAACCAATTAACTGTTGGATGATGAAATGTTCCATACCGTCGTATATCCCATAGTTGATTGGAATAATTAAACAAACGAAATAAATTCATATATGTAAGGAAGTCAGTTCGAGTAAATGGTGAACTTGTAAATAGAAGTACATCAGTATGAATATTAGACCTAAATGATGGTACGATCTGAATATTGTTTTCATGCTTTTCAATTGGTTTATCACGCAATAACAAGACAAAGCTCCAAGGCAAACTTTCATAAACTTGATAAATAGCATCTGCACTAGAACTAACTTCAAAGCTAATATGCTTCGTTGATTTACGTAGGATTATTTCATTGACTTTATAGTGATCGTTTCCAGCGTTTTTCATATCATACAGAAATTCTCCGTTTATAGATATGATTTTTATTAAAGGATGACATGAGAATATAAATTCTACGAAACCAGCTGAATTTGGACAAGTACCATATGATCGTGTAGAAATATTCTTGAAAGTTATTGTTACGATATCTCGTTCACCAATGCCTAGAACAGTTGGAACTTGAACATTTATAATTTGAATCGGGTATTGACAAGTTATAGTAGTTGAAAATTGATTTTTTCGAAATAAGCGGTTTAATAACTTAATTTCTGCTGTTATTATTACGGGCTGAATGTATGGTTGATTGACTGAGGGTACGGGTACTGCATTAAGATGACATCTAAATTTGTGAGAATCGATAAGCGTTTGATTAACAGTGGCTTGCATCAATAAACTAGCGTCGTTGACCTTATTAGAAATATATTTTGTAGATGAAAACGATAATATAGAACCACTCGGTAAAGTTATTGAGCCGTTATTTGTCCATCGAACATCTGTAATAAAAAAGTCCGAATTTGGCTCATAAATTTCATCGTTATTCTCATTAGTTATAGTATAACCGCTAACACTGGCGTGATACTTAGTGGGTCCCCTCTCGATAACATTCCCATTCATATCTATTCGAGTATATTGAACTGAACCATGATTTGCAACGCAACCATCGACACCAGTTAAGCCATCTTTGCCTGATTTACCATCAGATCCATCTGTTCCTGTAGAACCTTGCGCACCATTGCTACCATTGTAAGAACCAAAACTATGTGCTGAATTATGGCCACCTCTGCCACCACGACCACCTGCTCCACCTGCCCCACCTACACCTCCAACACCACCTGTTCCACTACAACCACCTTTACCTGCTAATCCCGCCTGACAATCCACTTCAATTAACATAAATAAATGAGAATTTGAACTATAAATTTCAACATGTCCACCATCACCTGCATCGCCACCATTGCCACCATTGCCTCCGTTACCGCCGTCACCTCCTCGTCCACCAGATGCTCCGTCCCGACCATCACCTCCATTTTCGGCAGCAACGCCTTCACTATGAATATCCATTGCCGTCCTACCATTACGACCAGGACCAGCATGACCACCATTGCCACCGCTACCGCCATTCCCTCCCCGTCCTCCAGCTCCTCCATTACCACCTCTAGCCTTTATCAAGACTATTTCTTTTGACTTTTGTAATTGAAAACTATACTCTTCTTCTTCAAAGAAATAGTCGAGATTCGAGTTAACAGTATTAGAACATTTTAAAAAGGTATGTAATGTTTCAAATTTTTTTACGCGCACCCTTAAATTATCAACTGATCCGTCTAATTCAATCAATGCATGTCGAGAATTTGCGCCAGATTCACCAGGTTGTCCGTTCGATCCATGTGCACCCCTACCACCATTACCACCAGCTTTGTCATATTGAGTGCTACTTCTGCCAGAAATACCCTTCGATCCAGATTTGCCAGAACATCCATCTGAACCGGATAGCCCACTAATCGAAATGACATTCTTCGCTAACATTATAAACGTCAGAAAGAAAAACTGGAGTCTTTGATTATGTATTATAGAAATGTGATCTCTGAAAAAAAAAGAAAAATGCGCCACAATCTAGTTAACATACATATTTGAGTTTCCTGATTTTTAGACACGACCGAGTGTATTCTCGAAAACCGATTTTGTCGCAACGTTTTGTACGTTCATGGATCGAAAATAATTCCTCTTATAGAACCCAATCTAACGAAAAACAGATCTATTTAGTAGTTTCACATATTTACGATTCTGGCCATTTGGTTATATAGCTGAAACTTTGGATGTATGGCACTACTATTGATTACTAACGAAAGGAAAATATCTTAAAATATACACTCATAAATCAGTATCGAGAAAGTCAATGAAGAAAACATGAATAATTAGGGAAAGAAGATTGAATTTACAGAATACAACAAAACTTAAAGAAATGTAATTTGTTGTCAAAAAGATTTTGAATCGAATAGTATTAATACACGATTTCATTCAGCATTCCTTACCGATATTCAACAATATGAATTGATGCTTGTCCTTTATGGCTACTTAATACTCGCGTTTCTTTACGATAGTATTCTGACCATGTTGAATAAAACGATGTAAAGAACAGTTAAAACTCGAAGAATAACATATAATATATTGTAGATAATGTCGACACAAAACTTCATTGTTGGTCTATAATATAATGTTATCTAAGACTTGTTTTGTTATCTTTAGACAAAAAAATATGATTAGAATGCGCAAGAATAATTTATCTGCATTTTAAAAACTATCTAGAAGATGAAAGTGAGTGAATAGAATCGCCATGATTGAGTTCGACCATTGTCAGAAGTCTCATCAGACGACTTAATTATTATGAATAAGACTAAAACTGACTGTAAATATTGTGGTAATTTTAATTAATTCTACCAGGTAATAGTTGGTAGTACATACTATTCTACGAATCGAATATTATTCTATGTGTACGAAGATCATCTAGGATTTATTTTTATATACGCACGTTCTGTTGATCACTCGATTATAGTATGCGATAGATAGAAGCTGAAAAGGATACGAGCGAATCAACTAATGAAATACACCAAAATCTGTAGAATGAGACGGCGAATCTTTCTATGACAAATTGGAGATACTTTGAAAATTAAATAAAGATTTCTGATAGACATTACTATCATGCACTTTCGCACATTTTTTACCATAGCATAACGCAGTTTTTAGAGGAATTCAAGGGAAGAAACACTCTTGATATATCAATCCAATACCATCATTAGAAAGAACGCCAAATTATGCACAAAATGGTGTAACATACATTTCGAAAAAATTCATAATAGAAACTTATGACAGTCAGACGGTGTCTATACTAGTATTATGACATACTTCTAAGGGGTCTTTTTATGTAAATACTACAAAAATTTTCAGATTATAAAACTTCTTATACATACATCGATAGGACTTTGCGCGGGCTACAGAATGGCATACTTCTTATCTTATTAAAAAGTTAGCAAAATTTGTTCTCTGTACAAAACTGTCCAAAAACCATGGAAAAACCACTCCTGAATACCAGAGATGATTCTTAAGTGGCCTGATGATCAAGTGTGTTATAGACAGATCGCTAGAACTTCTCATACCTGATTTTAGCCTGTGGCGTCACCTCTTTTCTGTGAATACCAATAACATATATATGAAAAAGTATATACATAGACTAGAGTTACGATAAGTACACGCACAAGTAGCTGTACATGTATGGATGTACTCGTCCTTGCCCTTGACGAGCCATCCTTGGGCTTCTATCTGATTATTATTTACTCAATGACTCTTGAAGAGGTCTAATTGAGAAAAAATAAAATTTTAAAGCTAGAAGCACCACTGATATGTCTTTCATCTTTTACTATATTTTCTTACTCCCAATACTTGACAATCGACGCCTTCGTTTGTTTAGAAGAGTTTGATTGGTTCTGGACTAAGGAGCTTTGCTTGTATACGCGCATGAGGATGATTCCGAACGTTTTATTTTAGACAGTGGAATAGACATGTAGATGAGGTGCTCGATTGGTTCTGCTTACTTCTGATTGGTGTATTACTATCGGCGAGTCGCAAATTGCCATGGTGGATGTGACGATTTCTGATACAAGAGATGCTATGTACACTGAAAAAAGATCCGGATAATGATCTATCTTTGTCCTTTCGAAAGTTTCTAATAAACCCTTCCAGGGTTTATCTAGAAGTGATCAACCATTCAATTGTTTATCAGCGAAAGAGTTTATAGGCTTGTAGGTTTATTGAATCTGAAAGGGTTCATAATTCCTACAAAAAGGTATCTCATATATTACTTTCAAAATAGAGGCATGTTCTTTAACGGATGACAGTAGAGTANAAGCCATTTATTGAGCATGTGATACATAGGTTACTTTTTATTGAAAGAAATTTCTGAGATTCACAACAAAGTAGGAAAAACATGAAAAAGTAATTAGAGATAAAGGTTAGACTAAGATTCTTGTTCGCCGATTCATGATAGTTACTGTTAAGGGTGATACAAGGATCCTCGTTAAATGCCCTCTGGTTCAGAAAAATCAAATTTTTATAAAGTGGGCGCTATAGCGCCCACAGGGCAAGAAAGGGTTAAGATTATTTGTTTTAATTCAAAGACTTTTTCTGTGACAAAAAGAAGAAAGGTAACAAATTTTCTTATTCTTTATTGTAGTCGGCGATCAGTGATAAGTTTCTTATTTTCTCTTTTCTTTTCTCTTTAACTTTCTGTTGGCTTAAAATGTCGTTGATTGTGAACTGAGAAAAAAATCAGGAGAATCAGGGGAAAATGATAGAGATCAGCTCCTTAAATCAGGAGATTTTCGATCAGGAGAAAAGTACAAAAATCAGGAGATTTGTCAACCCTGGTTTTGAGTTTGTGTTGTATTTTGTTTTTGATGCATCGCACATACAGCATGATGTTGAGGACCCAAATATTCATAAACGCATTGACAACCTGTTCCAGGTGCAAAGATTGGTATAGTCACATCCCTTAATTTTGCTCCACCAGCTGGCTTCATTCCACATACAGCATGATGCTGGGGACCTAAGTATTCATAAACGCATTGACAACCTGTTCCTGGTCCAAATAGCGGCACGGTCGCGTCTCGTAGTTTTGGCCCGTACTGCATTTTTTATTTATCTGAGAAAAATGGATATTATCATCGTCGTCGCTTTATGTTGTTTTTTTTTATGTTTGAATTAGATAAGAGACGAATTCATAGGAAGATAAATAAGAAAAAGATAGATTAACGAATGATTTATTTGCTTGATCTTTTTCAAATGACGCGATTATCGAAAAACTATAAGTCTTTTTTAAGTATTAAACAGTTTATTAATATAGGAAATATATTTATTTATTCATCATCTTCTTTAACTTCTTTAATAATTGATTTTATATGGATCCAATATCTTAATGTTACTGTGCCTTGATTTTCGCGTCAAATTTTTCCTCTAACATTAACTATAAATAACGCTCATCGAGACGGACTCGCATTACCCTCGACTGAAAAAGATTCATATGTAATAATCAATTTGCTATTAGAAAATAAAGAGTACAACACTGCTACGAAAAACATTCCAACGAAATTTATTAAAGATTCGAGCTTTCGATAGACACTTCTATCATCGTCAGGAATGAATAGAAAAGAGGAATTGGTTATGTATAAGTAGTTTTTGATCAAAGAAGGTTGATTAATATAATTCGCGAATTATATGTTCAGAAGAACTTGTGCCACCGTTGGTGGGTATGAGTTTCTAGAAAATATTAAGTTTGAATTTAACATCATTAAGAGCGTTACCTTTAGCTTCGTTCGTATAGAGGCTTTCTTTGATTATTCTACGATTCCAGTTATTCTCGTAGGTGATTGTTTCAGCTCCTAAAAAATCAAAGGAGTGTTTTAATTCAGAAACATGTTAAGCAATATTAGACTTATCTGATTGATTCTTGATATCTTTTTGATGTTCTTTCATTCGGATTGTTTTGTTCCGATTTGTTTCATCAATGTAGACTTTTTCACACGTGTTACATGAGATTTTATATACGACTTTTTTGTCCTTCTTCATATCATCCTTTCCTTTTTGGATAGGAAGAAATATACGTTTTAGTGTGAATGACTTTTTAAACGCAATGTTTATCTGAAACAGAGGTAAAAATCTCTTGCATGCTCGTTTGAGTTTTTTAGCAAATTTGGCTGATTCGTTTCCATGGAATTCTAAAATAAAGAAAATAGTTTTTAGTGGTGTTTGATTTGTTTTTAAATTAGTAGAGTGACAATTCCAAATTTCATCATGATTTGAAACGCTCTCAGTAAACTCAAATATCTCCGCTTCCTGACGTCCGTTTGAGATGATTTTTGAAACGCGGAATAGAGCAAACATTTTTCTATCCAGCCATGTACTTTTTGGGTCAATCCATGAGGACCCATCCACTTTTTGGAAAGGTTTTTTTTTGATTTTTTTCGGCTCAAACATCCGATCTCTGTTAGAAAACACTTTTGGTGAAAAAAAAATTGGGTCCTATCTGCGGAAAACCTCGAAATTTTTAGCGTTTTTAGGTACACCTACAGCGTTTTTCTATACATAGAAAAATTGACAGAAAAACATCTGAATCTTCATCAAAAGCTCTTTTTTCGGAATTGTCTAGTACTCATAAATATCAAACAAGTCTAGAAACATGTTTTCTGGCAGGAATCAGACTGATCTTATTGAATTTCATATGTGGTAAGTGTAACGGAATATAGAAATGGAAATGAATGTTATTTCATTTCAGCTGCAGCATATTTCTTCTTTATTTTATTATTTGTGATCACAAAGACAGATTGGAGGAACAGCACTATCGCTATTCTTCAATGTAGAAGATATTAACTACATTGTATCATACTCCAAAATGTATCGTATACAATACAGAACATAATCTTTTATACAGAAGAGAAAAGAGAAAAGAGAAAAGAGAAGAGACCAAGCAGTGATAGTACAAGGTAATATTCATAATGAGAATATTAGTAAGAAAAGAACATTACGCAAGGACACTAACTTATAACTGACATCTCTAAATGATAACTCATAAGATATGATATTTAGATGGACGTGTCTGTTGGCACAGGCGTGTTATAGCATCGGCTGCTTGATGTCGATGTCGGAGAACAGTATCAAGTTATACACAAGCAAGGATCTGTCAACTTGATCGAACGTGATCTACACACAGAAGATATTCGTCACTTGTACGGAATTACTGGCCTTTTCGCAATTATCATCCTTGTGAGTATGGCACCTATTCTGTTATTTGCAATAAATAAATTGGAGAGTATCTAATGTTCTGTTAGGTCACTTACATGCGTTGATTGAAATGAACATCAGGTTCGCTCACATGTCTGCAAAAGAACATAGGATGATCGTTTTGCATCTATGTTTTTTAGATTATTGTTACTATTAGCGAGCATTCAACGATGACAGCATCGAAGAGAGGATCGACTCAACGAAAAGTATGTCTCCAAGCACTTTGTCGCTCTTTTCATACTAATCCTTCGCGGCATTTAGATACAAGAAATCGCGCGAAGGAAAAACTTTCATCGTCATGGCCCGATCGACAAAACGTAAGTACAATACACTTCATCTATCACTTCATTCTCTTTTCTATTTTCTTCAATAGATGCTAAATGAAATTGGACAGTTGTTCCATGTTCGTGTACATATTCGTGTGTGTGTGTGTACAAATAAATGCAAACTCGTGTCTTTTCCATCGAAAATAGTAGTTTAATGAAGTAGACGATTAGGCTGCCTAGGCGTCTTTGCTATAAAGAAATTATCCTTCTTCGTACATATTGAATGGCATGGAACGTTTTCCATTCTAGATCTATTTTGCCTGCGATTATCTCCGTTACTTACCTTGCACATGGAAAATATCAACCCTAGTGGTACTTATTCATCAAATTCCGGCAAGTATATTCCTTACGTGTTCACACTACGTACACTAGCATATGTATTGTACGACGGCCGAACTGCACATCGTTTCTGTTGTAGAAATGCGTAATCATGGCAGTGAAGCATCATCTGACGACAACTGCTATCATCGGTGTCGTCGAGATCGCCACCGCCACCGTCATCGTCGTGGATGTCGTTCGACTCGTCGATGTCGCCGAGAGAAAAGAGCGCTTCTTCAGCACCTTATGAAACAGTGTATTCAATATCAGGAACAAATCTATGAGAATCAATCTGAAATCAACCAACTCAAAGATCAAATCGAACGGCTATGTGTATTGCCTGGCAAATTATTTGATGGCCTGCGCGACATGGCGTCTGTGCTTCGTTCAATCCAAGATCATCTCAATGAATTTCATCAACTCTAGTCGAACGACTTTGTGTTCGTGCATGACCTCTTGATGCCCCTCAACATGATTATTTCAAATGATGTCATAAACGAACGATCCATAGATTACTTCTTTTGTTCATTCTAGATCACATAGTTTTAGTTGTTTGAATGTTTCAACAGACGAACTCCTCCATGGAAGAAAACACTTCAGCCGATGTGAACCGTTTGAATACAGGTAATTATGGTTCACATTTGATGAAGAATATACATGTGATTTTGTTTTCACTTCTACTTTCAGATATCTATCGTCATCATCATCATCATCATGATAGTGAAACATCGACAACAACACACTGTTCGCGTCATTGTCCTCATTGTCACGGTGGTTCGACACATCAACGTCGATCAAACGAAAATGCCATCATACAATGCATTTTAGAACAACAGGCTCAGTGTTATGACCACATCTTTCAACAACATCACGATATTCGTCAGTTGAAAGAGTACGTTCGGAAATTTCATGATCTGATCAAAACAGTCGACGATGCTCTCGACATTATTGTCCAGGGTATCGTTGACATTCAACGTCGTTTGGAAAACATGAATAACAATACAACCGATACATTGCTAGAGTAGTTTATTGTTAGTTTTCATGTACTTGTAATTATATGTTAAATAAATTAAGACTTTGTCGTGTGCTTCACATGTTCCAACTAGATGTTTCACATCATCTATTTTAGGTTGCAAAATGACACAATTGCTTCGTGCTCGCAAAGATTACATCGATTTGCGACCTATCCCAATTGATGGTTCCGTAAGTATGCATGATATTCAATGTGCAGTGATTGGGCTGTAATTCGTGTACTTTGTTCTGTCTAGAAAAACTACAGTTACCGATGGAAAATGATAGCGCTGTTGGATTTCAATGAGCGCGGACAGGTAACGAGACTAGACTATTCGTTTAGTCTTTAATCGGACGAGTGAAAAGCTTCTTCTTTCTATCTTCCATTTAGTATATACTTCCGTTTTCCAAACGAGTGGTGGATATACCGAAGGATCTATGGCGAAGAAATCGAAAACAACCGGCACCTCCAGGCTACGAGCTGTGTGGTTGCATCGATTGTGAACACAAAACTTGGGAAGATCATGTTCTACGAGATGATCTTGATGACGAAGTATCGACATATGGTAATATGCATCTAGAACTTGTGTATTGTCCAACGAACGATGACGAGTAAAAGTTTCCATCGACATCAATCACCGAACATCGTTCATTTACATTATTGAAATTTTAGTGAAAATATCCAACACCAGTCGTGCAATTATAGTGATGGTCTTGCGGACGAAAGTGTTGATGATTATAGTCAATCGGACAATTCTTATGAACTTACATGGCGTGAACTTTCGTTGTCTCCATTTCCATGCGGTGATCCTTACGATTCGTATGACCTTGAGTGTTGAGTGGTCTTGTTGTTATGTATACAATAAAAAAGAACGGATTAATTCATAGCCTTCGTATTCGTTTTCCTTGCAATAAAAAAGAATTCCATGTATGCTTTTAAATTTCAGATATATTCCATCAAGAGCGTATTGAAGAGTGCAACCTACGATGAATAAAAGGTTCAAAACTCGTCGATCAAAGTCATCCCTTTGGGTGGTAATCACGTTCATAGACAAAACTATCACGGAGAGTAACATCTTCTCTGCATAGGATGAACCAGTCAACGAAGATGTGGTGATTATTTCACCGGATATCGTCGAGTTATGTGCAACAAAGACGAAGACAATGAACGAAATAGAAGTCCCCGTTGAACCCATTGCTTTACACGTTGATCCAATAATTAGTGTAACTATGGGAGCTTTTCCAAAGTTAGAGCAACAACTAGCTATCTTACCACTGTTTCCAACCGGCGGCAATAAGGTGACCAGTCCAAGTTTTCCTCTGCTACCCAACATACCACGTACGTATGTCTATTTACCATGTGAACGATTATGACGCCATTTATACTATATGTCACTGTAGCGTATCAGCTGAGTCCAAAAGAACTGATGCGACGCCATTCAAATGCGTTCGAGCCATCCTTCGAAGTCATCGACAACAATCCAGATGTACCGTCACTATTACGTGCAAAATATCAATTGTTCTACAGTGATCTAATACGACGATTGAAGGTCGACTTTGCTATTTTGGATTACAATTATACACGACTTGATCAATACATCCAACGACTGGTCGCAGAACAAATTCAAGTATTCAATCTTCTACCAAATGAAATTTCACGCCTGGACGAACGAGAATATCCATTAGCATTGGAGTTTTTTCTGCAATTCGATGGTATGTTCTATTCATTGTGTGATGTGCTATGCTAACATGTGTACTTCTTCCTCTTCTTCTAACTTTCGTAGTTAATATGTTCTACATGAAAACATGCTCGTTTCGCCACGCTCGTCCACGTTCAATGAGCGAAGGTTTATTCTGTGTACAAACGCCTGAAGCTCGTTATGAACTGGCCGCGTGTGGTAATTGTGGATTGTGCTATCCACAATATGACATGACGCATCGAGAAAAGAAATACATCGTCGAGTTTAGTCAAGCACACACACATTCATTTGTCAATGGATATAAAACAATTCTGAACTGTTCCGCTGTATGTATTACAAACCAAAATACTCACCCATTGACCTCGCTCTCGTCTAGTCGTGCCATACACAGAATATTATCTACACATTGACATGCGTATGTGGAAAAATGGACTACATCGGTGCAACTAGCGGCAGTTTACATGATCGCCTCTATAGTAAGCCATACGTACTTCATATCGATACTTTCTTGATTGTCATCATTGCTGCAGCACATCGTGAACATGGAAATCGGATTATGCACGAATTCCTATTAGGTCAAGCAAACATCATGCGTGATCTACCAAGAGGAAAAACAAATGAGTAAGATCAATTATGAGAGAGAGAGAGAGAGAGAGTATAGTCCTTCAACTAGCACAGCTTCCACTTTCAACAAATTCTAGTATCAAACGGAAGGATCGCATGCAACTGTATAAACATTCAACTCGATGTCTTGATGCAATGCAAATTTTCTTGGATGCTAATCCGCAATATTGGCGATTTGTACCAATGGCCATGGATAAAGCTGTCACACCTGAACAGCAAACAATCACACGACCTCAATTATTTGATGAATCAGATCCAAATTGTCGTTCAAAGGAAGATTGTCAAGTGTGCATTCAAGCTGTTCCTCGGCCACCAGACGAATTCACTTTCTCGAACCGACAAATCCTTCGACAAGCCGAATACTTTCATAATAAACGCGACAAAACATTGCCCAACCGCGATATTGATCTGTATCATGCTACGATTGTAGCTGTGTGTAAGTTACACAAACATTCTATCCACAATCCATCCTATCTTTGCTCTAGTGCCCGACAGTTGTTCGAATATGTTTCGAGACGTCATCGAATCCTTATTCATTACTTATGCGGATACAACACTCAACACAATTGGCAACGTTCTCCGCGAAGAACAACAGCGCAATCATTATTATCCATTGAACGATCCATGGTCGACTCGTAGTAAAAATTGGTGCAATGGTTTGGTGCGTCGACCATGGCCAACGACGAATCCGAACTGAAATCATTATCTCACGCTGTGTTACGCTTTTTTCATGTAAAATAAATGTATTTTGCCGTTCACTATAGTTGTCATAAATACACATTCACCGTTTCTTTTCCATAGAATGCTACATATATGCACTCGCGTTACCGTTCGTCTTTTTCGTTCTAGATATACCAACAACATTACTCGACTGATCTATATGTCATCATCATCATCGTCATCGACTTCAATGCGCCGTTATCATTCAAACAACGACGAACGGGACATCGATTCGGCCGGCGTGCATGACAGTGAACGGCAATGCAAGACACAGCCGTGTCGAACGATATCAAACCGTCTTCAACAACTACGTGTGCTTGGTGATATCAACGTCACTATATGCCATGGCAGTAGTACGTTGTCCGGCGAAGCTTTGGCGGAAGAAGAATTAGTCGAACGATTGAAACAGACAATTAACGAATTCATGACTCGACCTGATCGTCGATATTCGTATGATACGACACTGCGTTGGACAGTTGATCATGGCAATGAAATTAATTACAGTGTAGTCATCTACATTAATCAACCAGCAAATCTATTTTGATACGCACAGAGACATATCCTTGTTGATGCTTATAGGAGAACTGTAAACAAGAAATAAAAGAGTTGCTACGACACAGTTTTGAAATAAACATACTCCAGATTGAAACTATGTATTCTTTCGCTGTTTCAGATTACAGTCAACTCGTCCCATGGCTACTGCGTCATCGTCGTTAGTCAAACAAATGCAAACAGATGTCATACAAGAAACGAATAGAGCGAATGGAGATGATGTGCAAAAAGAAAAAGAACTGGTAGGAAAAGAAGTTCGGTTTCAAGTGAATGTACATCACTCATTTTTCCTGTAAAGAAATTTCGTGCTATGTTCGACTATTCATTATCCACTCCACGGTATTCGTCATTGTCAAACTGGTCTTCAAGTGACCAGTTACAGAAACGGAAAAGACTTCTAAAACATCCATTTTATATCGGCTTTAGTCATGCTACCAACAATCAACTTGTGCTTTATGGTCAAATGACTTCTGCGAACGGTCAATATACAAAGCAGATTATCCGATGAACCTTGTTTTAAGTGCAAAACATCGTGTAACATTTGCAAATAAATACTACTTCTCTGTTTGTCACGTTAGCATATGTGAAAATGACTGTACGTTGTTCGATTCTAGATAAAGAGTTGTTCGAAATCAAACGTATCAACGTTTACCAATGCGTTCAGCAAACCGTTCGCGTATCAACACGGGCGCATCAACGCCGCCCCCATCACCTTCATCATCATCATCGTCAACGACGACGTCGACAACAACACCCCCAAATTCTCAATCTACAAATGAATCATCCGGAGAATTTCTCATTGTTTTAACTAATAGTCAACACCTATTACGACGATTAGCAGCTGATTATCAGGTAATATTTCATGCTCCTTCAATTGATCTAGCAATGTACCTTGCCATCTACTTTCTAGAATGCTGAAATACTTCGAAGAAGTGTTTCAATTGGAAACGACACAACCATGTTCAATACTGATCGGGAACGGCTTTTGACTGCGCTGTTACAAGTTGAATTACGACAGGTTGCTCGGGATTATCTTTCTCGAACTCGACGATCTTTTCCAATTCAATACTTGTTCAATATGTCTGATATCGATTCAACGCATCGTCGCACATAGTCGCTTTCATCAACAATCGAACACTTGAACAAAAGATTTCATGAGTTCTTCCTTTTTTTTTCTTCCTGTATATTCCCTTTCCCCCTGTTGACTTTCATTTCAATTCGAAGTAAGACTAAATGACCATATGAACACCTTTATTTTGTAGATAGTTCACTTTTTGAAATACGAACCATGTCATCGTTGAATAAATCCACTGACAGCAAGGAAGAAACAGCTTCATCTATTACTATTCAAGCGCAATCGACGACATCGACACAAACTGAAAGCAGTCCGCAACCATGCCGACGCTTTTGCATCGTATTAACGAACAATCCTCGTATGATTCGATCTGCAAGTCGAACGTTACACAATGCCACGGTTAATGTGTCTGTAAGACTATCGTGTTTTGAACTAATCCAAAAGAAATCAAATGAAACTTTCCTAGAATCAAAAAGTACAAGAACGACAGCGTTCTCCACCACCTTCGCCCTCGAAATCTCAACATCGAGAACAGTTGACTCTTTCGAATGAGCAACAAGTGCCATTATCGACACAGTTTTCGGCGATGAGTATTACAACGGACAATGATGGTGATCACGAAAAAGAAATTGAAGATGATTTTCGAGCACAAATCCAATCCATTCTTCAGGCATACTTGCAGAGGACGCGACGAGCAAGTTCAATTAACTCAATTTTTGACATGTCGAATTGTGTTGATAATTGAAACTTCGCTTCTTTTTTCTTTCGCGCTTTTCATTTGTACTTTTAGACATAAAAGAACTTAGCGAAGATCTTTCGCAGAAAATCATTTTTTGTTGTAGATCACCGTCATGACTTCACCACATCGTAACACACATAACGACTCATCACGAATCAGGGTTCCATATCCATATTTCATCATTACCATAACAAACTATCCACAATTCACACAACGCACACAGTGGTACCCGACGTCCAACGAAGTAACTCTGCATAGTCTCGATACCCACACCCTCAAGATGGCTTTCTCTTGCATTTCCATGTAGACTTTGAATCCTCAATCACAACATAACTGCATGTTTATGCCGGGCGTTCTCGTCCACTTCGGAACCGGTTCTACCGATCAACATGAACGATTGTTATACAATACTGTTCGGTATCAAATTCGACAAATTATTCGAGCATACCTTCGACATACTCGACAATCATACCCAATTCACTTGGTTTTCGACTTGACCGATCTAGCAGCAGACGGCTGATAGGCATTCGATGCTGCATTCTGTGTGCATACTTGTATCTATCGTGATGTTCATATTTAGATTTCTATATTTCACTTCAATAAACTCATGATACTCACTTTGACAAAGTCGTGATATAGATTCATACTGCTATTTTCTAGAGTACATTACAACACAGGGATGGCGTCCGACTTCTGGACTATACATCAGATCATGAGGCATTTACAGAACGAAGAAGCTACAGCAGCAGTCATGGATACGACTGATGATCGCGAACTGTCAACAGATGAGCAGAATGATGAACAAGAAGCCGAAAACAATCAAGAAGGAAACACAGATCGACGATACTTATTCATCATCTTCAACGATCCAACATGGTCTCGAACAGTCCAACGACTCAAAGGAAATGTATGTTGAGATGGTGACTTTTCAACTTCCACATCCATTTCTTCTAGCCTACACAACAGCGCATGCAAACTGTGACATCAGATGCAGCAGCTACAGTGGTCAACGAAGAAAGACGAGGATCATCTGTCGATGAACAGTTTACTTTGCAACTACGGCAACTGTTCGATGATTATATGCAACGCACAAGGCGACGTTTCCCGATAAGATACTTTATTGATTTCACTAATCAGACTATGTAAAGCCCACTAAACATTGTTTCACAGAAAAAAGTTGAAATATAAAAAATAAACTATCAATGAAAACATCATGCCAACACTGACGCCCTGTACTACATTTTGATTTCGTTTCAGATAAAACAGATATAATCATAAAACCAATCCAATCCCACAACCCATCACTGATTGCTTATCAGTTGACCTACACAATGAGTAAACATGCTTTCTATAAGATATATGTAAGTGGAATAACTGATCGCGCG